CTAAGAAGGCTTCTGCAAGGATGGTTTGTCAGTTTATCCTTTTTCATTGAATAAGCCTTGTTTCCTTATTTTTTGTATGCCCTGTGATTTTTTTTTGTTGTTGAAATTTGGGCATTGGATGGTTCTAATGTGGTAACTCTGGAAGTCAGAGTCTCCTTTCCCATGGGTTTGCTGTTTTGTTTTTGTTCTGATTATTGAAGGATGTATAATCCACTTGTTTTGAGACTTCTCCAAACTTTTTGCAAAGACTATTCCTTGTTGTGTATGTTCACTGAAGTCTGTTCTTTTAGCTCATGTTCAGCTAATTTTTTGACAGAGGTTTCCTTGAATGCCAGGAATAGAAACAGACAAACAAAAGAAAAGAAAAAAAAAAAAAGAACAGTGTCAGCTCCCAGTCTCTGCAGATTGGTTCAGTGCTGGAGTGGTCTGTCACTCATTAGCTAGGCTTGCTCTGAGGCTAAGGATCAGCCTGAGGTGAAGGCTTACGGTCTTCTCAGGACTTTTATGAGCATGCATCTTGCCTGGGTATGCATGTGACTTTCTACAATCCTCCTTAGAGGTGACTGCTTTTGAATGTCCTAATTTCCCAAAGAGAATCACCACAGTGACTCTGCCAGCGTTCTCTGGTCTGATTTCTGTCTTTCCCCAAACCTCTGGCCCTAGGCATCTGTTGGTTTGTCGTCCTCTTTTTGGTTTTAGAGCAGCATCCACCACTTTTCCTGCCTGTGTTCAGACTTATGCAAAACAGAAATAAATGAGTCGGCTCTTTGGGTCAGAACAAAACATACACAATAATTTGCAAATAAGATCTGGTATGCTCCCTCCGGTTTGGGGAGGGGAGCTAAGAACCTGGTTGCCACTGCTTAAGACTAAGATTGTCACTGTACCGGACACGGAGGTGGGGTAAGGGCAAGTAAAAATGCCACAAAACTTCCCTATGATTTTGAAGATGGCTTTGTCTTGAGTGAGCACTTGCTTGGTTGCTATAAACCTTTGATTGTTTTTCAGAGCTCCTCCAAAGTTGATTCAGACAGCTTCTGGTTTTTTCAGTGTTTTTGTGAGGGAACAAGAGCTTGGAGCTTCCTCGTCCACCATTTTGCTGATGTCACTCTCTCCTTTTAAATAAACTGAAAAGAAAGCTAAGGTGTTTTTCGTTTTTTTGCAGGTTAACCAGAAGGGCTCAGAGAAGCCGCTTGAACAGGCATTTGCAAAAATGGTGTCTTCCTTGGGAAGTGGAATGATCAGGTACCTTACTAGAAATCTGTTGTAGTGCTTTGTAGATGAGATGTGCGTTTGCACATATACACAAGTACACAGGTCTCACTAGACATATTATATACATTTTAGCTTTTTTTTTCAGTACTAGATCAAAGCATGATGTAGGCTTCAGATTTTCTCTGGCATAATTCCTATTGCAGAATAACTTAACAGTTGAATTTTAATTTTAATTTTGTAAAAGTTTAGTCCCTGATTAAAGTCCCCTCCTCGAGGCTTTGTGTCACTGTGGCCATTGGGTCACGAATTACAGTTCCTCGTGATTACTTGGTGTGGTCTTTGTGGTCCCAGTCACCACATGAGCGGGAGCAATTTACTTTGGCATGGTGGCCTTGTCTGGAGTGGCAGCTCTGCCTCTGCTATAAGTCACCAGGCAACAGCTGTAAACTGTCTAGCCTTGTCAAAAGATGGGGATCCTAAAATATCAACAGTTGCCCTCTTGGAGAGGGTCAAGGCAATGAGTCAGCCCATTTGGAGCAGGAACCTGGGGCAGGAAGTGGGGCTCTACTCTGGTAGGAGTGGTCACAGGCCACTTGGAAAACTTGCCAAAGAAATACTACTGGGTTATTTTAGGGAGGAATTTTTTTAACCTTTGGAAAATTTTGAACATCTACAAAAATAGAATGATATGATGACTCTTTGGGGAAGAATTTGTCTCTTTTGCCTAATTCAGAAGCTGTAGCAAACTCATCAGACCCTCACCCCGTGCACATTTCTTCCTTCTCACAGTGGAATCTGCCCAAAGACACTTTGGAGGACTAACGGGAGGGATCCCTAACCAGGATGCGCCCCAGTATCCTCAGAGGGACTCACTCAGAGTGTGCCTCAGACTTGAACAATCAGAATCTGTGGGTTGGGAGTCCAGCATTTATGTTCTGGGAGAAGTGTGTCTGCTGGCTCCTACGCAAGCCCCTGGTTAAGGCCCTCTGCCCCAGAGGATTCTAGAGGTGTGCTGGCCGTCAGAGTTGTCCTGAGTGTGTAGCAGTAGCTGACTTTGAGAACTTGAGACAGAAGTCAGAGGTCACAGTTATGCCCTTGGTGTTCCAGGGAATTTAGAGGGCACCTCCTGCTACTGCAGCGGTTCTCAACCTTCCTAATGCCGCAACCCCTTAATACAGTTCCTTATGTTGTGGTGACCCCCAACCATAAAATTATTTTCGTTGCTACTCTATAACTGTAATTTTGCTACTGTTATGAATCATAATGTAAAT